CCTCCCTGCCATGCTGCCTGCGGCTGGGACCCCTCCTGCCCCTCCACTCCCACCCCCAGCAGGTGCCACCCCGTGGGGCAGGGTCCCCGCTCAGCTCTGGGACGTGGGGATGCCCTTACCGCGAGGCTGGGCCCACGTGCCGCAGCTTGCCAGGGAAGTCCAGCAGGCTCTTCTCCACTCTGGCCACCTCCTGTGGGTGAGAGGGGCAGCGAGCAGCCCCCACAGGGCCGGGGGCATCCCCAGAGCCCCGGCAGAGCTGCCCACGCTGGAGAGCCAGACCTCGGGGGAACGGCAGAGGTAACTCCCCGTTTGCCTGGTGGGGCTGGGGCCAGCCCGGGGCATGCGTCCCCAGCCAGATGTGTTGCCAGGTCTCTGCGGGAGTGACTTGGACCAACACCCGCACTGACTGGGAAGGACAAAAATGTCCTTGAAGGCATACGGGCCTTTGGGGGGGACTATGGCAGCGGTGACAGGAAGGTCCAGACCCAGCAGAGGAGGGACAAGCTGGTGCCAAGGGCAGGAGGGCAGAAGGGAGAGGATGGAGCGTGCTGCAGGCGGCAGCGCCAGCTCCCTGCGGGCAGAAGTGCAGCTGCCACCAGGCAGAGCAGGGGCGAGCATGGGAAAAAAGGCACTGGAGCTCGTCTGCCAGGGAAAACAGCCTCCCCCACACGTGGGCTGGGCGCATGCCTGCCGGGGCAGCACAGGCAGTGACCTTGCACACGGTAGGGGAGGGAACAGGGTCTCCCTGGGCACATGCAGGTGCCCGCAGCCATGGGGATCCCCCGGCGAGCCCCACTCTGGCTGCACCCCGCGGCTCCCGGGCAGCAGGAGACAGCCGGGGACAGCCCAGTGGTGGCATGCCAGCTGGAGGCAACAGGCGCATGTGGCCAGGCTGGCCCAGGGCCTTCAGCGGCCAGTGGGCAGAGGAGCTGCTGCAGAGCCCGGCACCTCCCAGGGCAGCACAGCTCGGCCAGGCCACGCTCCCTGTGTGGGCTGACAGCCACAGCCCAGGACGGAGCCAGGCACTCGCGTGCCAGCTGCTGCCCAGAGAATGGCCACGGGGACGGCGGATGCTGCCACGGGGACAGTGGGCAGGGGACCAGGACGAGGCCCTGCCCATTGCGGCCATGCCTGGAGCAGACCTGAGGGCCAGGGAGAGGAGCAAGGGAGTGCACAGGGAACACCTTCTGTTTCAGATCCCCATCAGGGAAAAGCCCGCTCCAGGCACGGACCCAATGCTCTGCCAAGAACGAGCTCCCCCCACAATTAATCCGGCCATGGCCCCCAGCAGTGCAGGGAGGCCAAACACCAAAGCCCCACCGGTGCTCACCATCGCCACGAAGTGCAGCAGGTCCACGCCTGGCTCGTTGGCCTTGGTGTCGGGCAGCTTCAGGAGCGAGGCGAGGCGGAAGCCGGCGGCGCTGCCAGCATAGCTGCCCTGGGAGTGGAGCGGGGGAGTCGCTGCGGCCCTGCTGCGTGGGGGGGTGGGGGGCAGGGGGGCAGCAGGCCCCCTGCGCCATGGGCTCACCGAGTTCAGGTAGTTGCCAGCGCTCAGGATGAGATGGAGGATGGTGTGCAGCTCCTCACACTCCAGCAGCTCTGGGGAGCGGCCAAGGGGTGAGCGGGGACAGGGACGGTGCGCCCCCGCCACAGTCCTGGCACACCCCACAGTGTTACTCACCAACAGCAGCATCTGTCAGGGTCTGGATGGAGCCGCGCAGGGTGGTGAGCTGGGGGAAGAAGTCTTCCTTCAGCACCAGCAGCTCCAGGCGCTGGGTGTAGCTGGGGGGCGAGTGTGGGGTGAGCAGGTGGGGGCGTGGGAACCCCCTGGCACACGGGACCCCCCAGGTGCAGGGGACCCCCCAGCTCCCACCTGGGCACCTCTGTCAGAAGCAGCATGAAGAGCTCAGGGTCAGCGAGCTGGTGGGGGCTGCCAGGGAAGGACCGCAGCCGGGCCACCTGCGGGCAGAGAGGGGTGTCAGGAGGGGCCGTGGGGTCCCCCCCCCAGGCCTCCCCCCTCCCAGCCCTCACCTCTGTGGCACTGGGCAGCATCCGGGAGAGCTCCAGCAGCTTCTCTGCCCCGTAGGGTGCCCCGACACCCTCCTGGATGTCCCGCACGATCTGGCGGACAGGCCTGGAGGGACGTGTCAGACATGGGTGACCCCCTGGCCCAGCCACATGGGCAGCGCTCTGCCACCTGATGGGGTAACAACCCCCTGGCGGCCAGCAGACCCCCCCATCCCTCCCAGGGGGGGCAGACACCTACCTGACCCCCTGCAGTGGGCATGGTGGGGGGCAGGGACCCCCCCATGTCCATGCCTGGGTGCACAGGGCAGCCGGAGCCCCTATTCCCCACTTGTGTGCGGGACCCCAGAGGGGAGCAGGTACCCGCAACATCCCCCATGCCGGGACCCCTGGGGATAGCTCTCATTCTGCCCCCCCCCACGGGCTGGACCCGGGGACACACACACGAGTCCCTCCATGTGTGCACCCCCCTCTGGAGGGGGTGCAGGTTGCCGGGGTGGTGTGTGTCTCTCTGGAGGGATGGGACAGTGCCCCCCGGGGGGGGTGTCGGCCAGGTGTCCGGGGGGTGCCTGGGGGCAGCTCTGCTCACCGCTTGACCTGCTTGAGGAAGACGCCGAGGGCGAG